AGAAATGCCTGGCTTCACGCAATGTACCCATGTAGGGAATTGAATTTAGGCCTACGGCATTAGAGAACACTTTATCCACGTAATTAAGCCATGAAGCCAGCATAGCTGACACAAATAATCCCCTTACTACAAAATTAAGACGGCAAATTTGCAATTTGAACTGACGTTGTTGGACAGAAAACATGTTAAGTGAACAGGAGCCTTGTCTGGGATTGCTTTGATTGTGAAGAAAATGAAGAGCTCATACATGCGATAAAGGTTTGGGTCTGAAGCTGGGTAGTCTAGCTCACCACCCCTCAGGCAAATGAATGGTCAATATCATAAGCAATGATCCTTGCAGTTAGGGTACCATAACACACACACATCAGTCAGGTCACACAATATGAATATGCATGGCTGCCAACTTTCCCAAATTACATGTAGTATTTTGCTATGATTTTCTGGTCGGGACACAAAAGCCTGACAATATGGAATGCCTTCAGTACAATACAGACACTTGATTTTGAAACTCAGCTGATAATTTTATCACTTATTTTCTATTTTGAATATTCAGGCAGGATTGTGTCAGTGGTTATTGGTGTATTCAGGCAGGATTGTGTCAGTATTATTGGTGTATTCAGGCAGGATTGTGTCAGTATTATTGGTGTATTCTGGCAGGATTGTGTCAGTATTATTGGTGTATTCTGGCAGGATTGTGTCAGTTGTTATTGGTGTATTCTGGCAGGATTGTGTCAGTATTATTGGTGTAGTCAGGCAGGATTGTGTCAGTATGATTGGTGTATTCAGGCAGGATTGTGTCAGTATGATTGGTGTATTCAGGCAGGATTGTGTCAGTATTATTGGTGTATTCTGGCAGGATTGTGTCTGTGGTTATTGGTGTATTCAGGCAGGATTGTGTCAGTATTATTGGTGTATTCTGGCAGGATTGTGTCAGTGGTTATTGGTGTATTCTGGCAGGATTGTGTCAGTATTATTGGTGTATTCAGGCAGGATTGTGTCAGTATTATTGGTGTATTCTGGCAGGATTGTGTCAGTATTATTGGTGTATTCAGGCAGGATTGTGTCAGTATTATTGGTGTATTCTGGCAGGATTGTGTCAGTATTATTGGTGTATTCAGGCAGGATTGTGTCAGTATTATTGGTGTATTCAGGCAGGATTGTGTCAGTATTATTGGTGTATTCTGGCAGGATTGTGTCAGTGGTTATTGGTGTATTCTGGCAGGATTGTGTCAGTGGTTATTGGTGTATTCTGGCAGGATTGTGTCAGTATTATTGGTGTATTCAGGCAGGATTGTGTCAGTATTATTGGTGTATTCTGGCAGGATTGTGTCAGTATTATTGGTGTATTCAGGCAGGATTGTGTCAGTATTATTGGTGTATTCAGGCAGGATTGTGTCAGTATTATTGGTGTATTCTGGCAGGATTGTGTCAGTATTATTGGTGTATTCTGGCAGGATTGTGTCAGTTGTTATTGGTGTGTTCTGGCAGGATTGTGTCAGTGGTTATTGGTGTATTCTGGCAGGATTGTGTCAGTATTATTGGTGTATTCAGGCAGGATTGTGTCAGTATTATTGGTGTATTCTGGCAGGATTGTGTCAGTATTATTGGTGTATTCAGGCAGGATTGTGTCAGTATTATTGGTGTATTCTGGCAGGATTGTGTCAGTATTATTGGTGTATTCAGGCAGGATTGTGTCAGTATTATTGGTGTATTCTGGCAGGATTGTGTCAGTATTATTGGTGTATTCAGGCAGGATTGTGTCAGTATTATTGGTGTATTCAGGCAGGATTGTGTCAGTATTATTGGTGTATTCTGGCAGGATTGTGTCAGTGGTTATTGGTGTATTCTGGCAGGATTGTGTCAGTGGTTATTGGTGTATTCTGGCAGGATTGTGTCAGTATTATTGGTGTATTCAGGCAGGATTGTGTCAGTATTATTGGTGTATTCTGGCAGGATTGTGTCAGTATTATTGGTGTATTCAGGCAGGATTGTGTCAGTATTATTGGTGTATTCAGGCAGGATTGTGTCAGTATTATTGGTGTATTCTGGCAGGATTGTGTCAGTATTATTGGTGTATTCTGGCAGGATTGTGTCAGTTGTTATTGGTGTATTCTGGCAGGATTGTGTCAGTGGTTATTGGTGTATTCTGGCAGGATTGTGTCAGTATTATTGGTGTATTCAGGCAGGATTGTGTCAGTATTATTGGTGTATTCTGGCAGGATTGTGTCAGTGGTTATTGGTGTATTCTGGCAGGGTTGTGTCAGTATTAATGGTGTATTCTGGCAGGATTGTGTCAGTGGTTATTGGTGTATTCTGGCAGGGTTGTGTCAGTATTATTGGTTTATTCTGGCAGGATTGTGTCTGTGGTTATTGGTGAATCCTGACAGGATTGTGTGAGTGGTTATTTGTTTATTCTGGCAGGATTGTGTCAGTATCATTGGTGTTTTCTGGCAGGATTGTGTCTGTGCTGATTGGTGTTTCCTGGCAGAATTGTCTCTGCAACCAACACAATACTTTGCAATTTTTCAGTTTCCTGATCAACTTACGATAACATTTTCATATCTTAGTAATCAATTAAAGCAGCTGCAGTCATCTTTATCCAACACGAATAGATGCAAACCGAAAGTTAATAAAACAGAATTTTAAGAAGAAATATTTTTTTAAATTCATACCCAAAACTGACCTTAACTGACCATTGACCTTAACAAAGAGCAGTATTTCATAATAATATTTCAATTCAATTTCACAGTACTATCAGAAACTCTTTAAATCAAAGATTGATGTAATTTAAAACCACCTGTTCTATTCGTATATCAATACAGATATTTCTTTGCACTGTGTTTCATCAAACACAAAACACCAGAGAACAACCAGCACCAACAAAACAAGACAAATAAAAAGAGTACAGAAAATGTCATCATTCAAAGTTAAATGTGGTGAACTCTCACTGAAATAGCAATGTATCTGACAATTATCGTCACAAGGCATCCATGGCTGCCTACTGCACCTCCACAATTACTCCCTTTCCTGGTCTCATGTAGTTTTATTCGACAATTCATCCATCAAATCAGGAGAAACTGTCCCAGAGGGGATGCATGATGGGAGAATTAAACAGAAATCGTTTGTCACCGTATAACAACTTCTCCGTTTTCTCATAAATGTATAGAACTACGTCGGTTTAAAAAGTTGGATACTTTATAAAGTAATTTACAAAACACAATTGAACTCTTAGACTCACATAAAATACCATGTTTCCTTCAAAGTTGTGTCCAAAAAGTTCAAACAATTGAATAAACTCTTCTGAAACCAGTATATGTCAAGCCCCCTTGACCTGCGATTGCACATTGGAAACGTCTTATCCCAGACTGAACACATCAATGAAATCCTGTTGAAGCTAACTGATCTAAATAACCATCTATTTTATGGGTACAGCGATCTATATGTTCAAAGAAATGACATCCATTTATTACAAATCCTGTTTGGATTGTCATTATATATAGGTTATTGTTGATATTGTTTCGGATTTTTTTGTAGCGACAAAACCCGACCCCAACCCCTAGGTAACAGGCCACACGAATGATATTTCGTCTTTTTCGTCTTCGCATCATCATTGCATACAAGTTCCATGTCTGTCACACTCGTGTTAGAGAAGCGAATATGTGAGTTACCTCCCCTGGTCAGAAACTCAAGTCCTTGATGCAGATTCAACTCCATATAAATCCGACCTAGAGTCAATTATCCATCAGACCAAAATGCAACTGAAGTACACAATGTAAATGTCTGACAACAACATAAGGAATAATGGGAACCGAATGTCTGATGGAGAACTGTTGGTATTTGTTCCTACATCTGCCCTGCAGCTTGTTAATGTGTCTCTATGCTGAATCCCGTCTTTATAAGCAATAAAAAGTGTTGGCCTAATCAAATTGGTCTAGCATAATAAAACTAAAATATATCTAAAGAAAAGACAGGGAATCAATAATTATGTTGCTAATAACAACTATTACCAAGTTCAAAGAAAACATGACAATCACAGAATATGTCAACACACTTAGAAATCGGAGATGAAAAAAAAGTCGAAGGAGAGTGAAGAAAATTTTTGAATAATACCATTAAAAAATGATAACATGCACAAGACTTGACAGATCATCACAGAGTCTTGACTGGCACTAATTACAGATCAAAGACACACTTCATCTCTAAACGCAAAGCCGAAGCAACATAATTTCTGAAACTTTCCTTCTTCACTATGGCCATTTTGTCTGTCATGAAAGACCAACGAGACTGTAATTTCTGCCGTAATAAACCAGTCATAGGTGCCTCCTCACTCCAACATCTAACAAGCATCAAAGAACAGTGCACAAAAGAAATGAATGACTATCTTGCAGCACATTTTCAGGTTAAAATCAGAAATGCTTCTTGATGCCATTATCCGAGCTGTGAAGGTTTTGTTGAATACAAGGGAGAAGCTTGAGGATTATTTCACGTAGTGATGACCTCAAGATGAAAAGAGTTTCTGGTGTTGGGTAATTTGCTTACTTAACGCCTGTGTTATTTTTCGGATTTAAAAAAAATAAATTTTAATTTCATTTCTTTTTTGGGTATAGGAAAAATCTTTGGGTATTGACACAAAACTCTTTATATACTCACAAGACATCTCTACTAAAGCAGAGTCCAACTGTATCATGAGCATTTGTTTCAGATAGTGATCAGGCCATGTGTTTGTGATGGATGGATGGATGGATGGATGGATGGATGGATGGATGGATGGATGGATAGATAGATAGATAGATAGATAGATAGATAGATAGATAGATAATATCGATTCCCTAAAAAGTCTGAAATTCTACAAGCCCTCAGAATATCTCTTCAACTCCACATAAAATCAATTTCAAAGCTGCACAAATGTTTGCAAGACAATAAAGTCTGTAGGCATATTCATAAACAATTTCCTACCAATAACACAGCAAAAGCTGAGACAAACATGCATCAACACTCACCTTCCAGTAGGATTGTGCAGGGTGGGAGGCGATGCAGACAGAAAACCGACCACTCCATGTCTTGAAACACTTGCAAGGAAATACATTTCACAATAAGATGACTGACAGAGAGATGAGAAGTCAAACTCTAAGATCAGATACAAAGATGACTGCTGGTATGTTTTTTTGTTCAGTTGTAAATCTAAGTGTAATGTATCGGGCGCCCTCTAATGACACATTTGAACCTATCGCCAAAATGAAGGATTCAGACAAGGACCTCAGACCAAAAATCAAACCATCAAAAACACAGTGACATATTGGACATTATTTCCCTTTTTATGATGTCACGTATAGTTTACAGGAAAAGAGAAGGAGATGAGTGCTGCATTGAAGCCTCGATGTGTGACATCATAGCACTTTATGACATCATGAATGGAATGTCTCTGCACTTTAGACATTAAAATATTAACATAAATGCAAACATTTTCACTTAATGCAAACATTTTTACTTATTTGCTAAAAATTTAGCACACTATACAGACCAGCAGGCATGCTTATCAGACACTATTTCGGAAGAAAATGTCTGTACATATATGGCCATGATTCTAAAATCTTGCAAAAGTAAATATACAGTGAAACCCTGTTAATCCAGAGGTGATAATAATTAATAATTAATCATTAATCATCATCATCAACAACAGATCAGTGTGCACTCAATTTTCTTTCTCAACTCCCTGGGGAGTATACAATCCAGCTGCCTGGGAGGCACTAAAATGTCAACAGTCATATCACCATCTCATCGGACTAGGTACCAATTCACTGCTGGGTGAACAGATGCACCCTTTAAACAAAGTCACTTGCCTAAGGAGACACCACATGTGTCACACATGATCAGTGTGAGGAGACCCTTAGAGACACTCTCAGGGGTCAATCTGCCAAACACGGTCACCCATCCACCTACTCTCTGCAACCAATGTTGATTAACTTCACCTGATCTGTTACCTGTGCATCATACACAGGACCATTGACATGTCAGTTGCTTACTGGGTTTCTAGACAGTGGGAATCAATTCTAACAGGGTTTCGCTGTACAGAATCTCATACATTTGCTGTTCTCATTTTCATTTTTTTAAACATTTATGCATGGACCAATTATTCTTACAAATCAAATGTCCACCTTAGACTTTCAAAATAACATTCTGTTTGTTCTTTGTTTTTCCTTTTATGGGCATGACAGTAAGGTTTCACAGTCACATGCATATTGAATCCACCAAACATTACAAAAAAAGGAGTTTAATTGTATACTTACCATTGACTCTTGATTCTTTTCAAGTAACCTTCACATGTTGGTGAGCGCGATAAATTTAGACATGCCTTTCATCAGTGATTCATCATGCTATTTCCTACCATCCTACACAAATTCGAAAAGGCTAAACATACAGGATTTATGTGATCTAAAGAAGACTGTTTCTGAAAAATAAATTCTGCAAAAAAAGATTAGGGATTAGATATGAAGCCCATGAACATTAAAGAGAAGAATTCACATATAAATGTTCATGTTATCAATATTACATATCATGTATATCAATTACTGTCAACAAGTATAGACAGCTGGAAAAAAACAACATTAACTGAAAATAATTTGAGACCACAATACAAGTACATCATATTCTACACCAATATTATTTGTTTCAGGAAAACTTTTTCGAACAAATCTGACTTTTTGTCCAATTTTGCAACAGATTGCATCTAATCTGTAATAACACCTTGTTCATTTTTTCATCAACTGAAAGCTGACAGGGCCACATTGACAGGGTTCGATGACAAGGTTCGAGTGTTGTTTAACGCCTGGATGAATAGTATTTCAGTGAAATCCCAGCCCGCCAGTTTAGTGTGGAATCAATGCCCCAAGGTGGCACAAGCTGGAGACACCAAGGAACACAACTGGGATTGAACCCCTGAAAAGCAGATCCTAGCACAGATGAGGGACACAACTCTCCACAGGAAATTGTGAGTTGTAGGCCACTCTGTCCTGGAAGTCAGACCACAGAATGAAACGACAAAAGTTATGTTCCAAATCTGAAAGATTTCGTATCAAGTGTAAACTAACAGAATACCGTAGCTAATGGAACACCACAGGGAAAAGAATTCCAGGACTTACCGCCTTCTGTTCCAACAGCACCATGATGACTAGGGAGATGTTGCATATTGTCTTGTATTCAGCCTGCCAAAGGGAAAATATGAAGCACTTGTAATTCATTGTTTTTAATCCATATCCTAGACGAACAAGTCTTTAATTGATATTTTATTTCTGATGAAATTTCTTGTTGTTACAGGTTCTACTACACCAAATCAGAACCAGTTTGGACAGTGCGGTTTTCGTAGGGAGCCTTCAGTGTAGATCGAGAGATATCTGCAGGCTGTGATTGGAGCATATTCTGTAAGATTTTTATGTCTTTCAAATGTACATCCATCCAGTTATTAAAACTGACCATGTTTTTCTATATTTAGTACTGTCTTTTTCAACATGATGACTTATGCTGAATGTGACCACAGCTATTTTCAAGTAGGTGACATTTGGTGCGAAACTGGGGGTGGTGTGTTTAGCTTCCGGTACTCGGAAAAGGAGCTGGCTAAGCTAGTCATTTTTATTTTTTTTATTGCTGCTCTAAGGCCAAACTGTGCACACACATACAGGTAATAGCTGTTGAATGCTTAGTTATTTAAAAAAAAATCATAACTTTACTATAGAAGTCTATGGGAAAACATTTGGTTGTGTGTAACCTACAGGTAAGACCAGACACCAAGGGTAGTGTTCGACAAGGGTAATGTACAGACAATTTTAGAAAACACAAGCAAAATTATTAAATGAGTTTCAGAAACCTTTGTTATGCATGTTGATATCAATAGTATGAATTTTTTTTAGAGGTATGGATATAAAGGACACAGAGTATTTAAAATTTGACATTGATATAGACACTAATTCATTCACACTCACATCCTCTCACTTTCTGTACTAAACCATAAAAATGATAAACATAAGGAAATCAGAACATAAATTTATGGAAGCAAGAACAATGTAGATATTAAATCAAGATAACTGAGCTCAAGAAGTAGATAGAACCAAATGAGCTAGTTCATGGCAAAACATCCACTTGGTATAGAACTTGTTGGTTTTAGCTGTAAGAAATATTTTGCAATGATATACCTGTGGTGAATATAATGTTTAGACGAACAATAAAACGACTTAAAGAATCTAAATATTCTCAAAAAGCCCCAAAATGCTGCGACAAAAGTGTTTATGACATTAGAAATGAAAATCTACATTGATTGTTAAAAGAGTTTTGAGTGAGTGAGTATGGTTTTACGCCGCTTTTAGAAATATTCCAGCAATATCACGGCGGGGGACACTGGAAATGGGCTTCACACATTGTACCCGTGGCGGGAATCGAACCCGGGTCTTCGCCGTGACGAGCGAACGCTTTGGCCACTAGGCTACCCGAGTGAGTGACTGAGAGAAAGAGTTTGACACCGTATTCCATCCATATCCCATTGAGGGACACCAAGAATGGCAGCATAGAATGGCAGCATAGAAGTGAATTGTCTTGCAAGTATGCCACGGGGAAATCATAGCAATGGTTACATGTGACATTTGGAACTTAAGTGTGCAACCAAGAACAGTTACATTCATCGATATTGGAACTTTGTGAATGTAATTTCACCAGCAAGTTTTCCCCTTCCTTTTTAATTAAATAACCTTGCGAGTTACTGAACTATTTTGTTAAACGTACTGTCTATTAAGCATGTTAAAATGTTCATTTGTCAGTTCATGTTCCAGGTGACCTTCGTAAAAGAACATTTAACACTGGCTTCATACAAAAAAACATTCTTTACGTGTGACCTTTAGGCACCAGGAACTCATTTTAACAATGCTATTACAATCTTAACCATCCTATTGGCACTGTAATACAAGGAATGTTGAACCCCACCAAATGGGCTTCGTATTTTGAATCCATGTTGGAAAATCAAATCTGGGATATCAGCATAACAAACACACACATTAACAACTAGAATACTCCACAATTCCCACTAACTTTCCAATGACATATAATTAATTAAATACAGATACAGAATGCCCCAGTTCTGTTAAAGATAAGACTGAATATTCTCAAACAGAGGAGTGAGTTCAGTAGTGTTTGTTTGTTTGTTTGTTGTTTAACGCCACACTCAGCAATATTCCAGCTATATGACGGCGGTCTGTAAATAATCGAGTCTGGACCAGACAATCCAGTGACTGACATCACGAGCATCGATCCACGCAATTGGGATCGATGACATGCATCAACCAAGTCAGCGAGCCTGACCACCCGATCCCATAAGTCGCCTCTTACAAGCATAGTCGCCTTGAGTTCAATAGTGAGCTGCATTTAACAGCATTACATTTATATACTGGTCCACTATTGATAGAGGTAATTGTTAATCTTTCCATGATACACTAGATGATTCTCATAATGTCAAGTGTTTATTTAAATACAATGACATATCTGATTATCCCTCTGAAATGTTGAGTAGTATATCATACGTTGATGCTGACAGGCCCAGGATCGCAATCTGGGTGAATCTGGGATTTGAACAACAATCAGCAGATCCTGGTATGTCTAAGGGACTCAACTCTGCACAGCAAACTACACCCTTAGATACACAACTGCAGGTAAGAGGCATACAAATTCATACAAGATTCATTTTCTTCTTGGCAAGTATTAATAACAAAAAGGAAAGGAAATCATTGACAGATTGTGTGTGTCCAAAAATGAGGATCAGTTCCATCAAGTATAATGATTTTTTGCATTTGTTAGTTCCTGTTTTGTTTCTATTCATATTGTTTTGCATCATAAAGTATTTTATCTCACAGGCACACAATCATCATCAGCATCAGAAGCATCAAAACCATTTTTCATAATTTACAGAATTATATTTAAATAAGATGACATTTTTGATTGGCAGCTGTCCAACTTCTTGACTTCAATCACTAAGCACGTTTTTCTGTTCTTTGTGATATATATGGTTGTACATATTTATATCGAACTGAGAATAAACATTGTGCAACATCTGTTATTTGTACATCAAACATGTATTTTCATGACTTGATGACGTCAGTTTCAAACTTGTTTCAGTAACAACATATTTATCAAAGGTGGCAGTCATTTTGAAAAAAACTCTGTCACCATGGTAAATACATTGAGAGACTTCACGACCAATAGCCACAAGAATACAAGAACTCTGTCGTAAAATCTGACATGAAATCTGCCCTTTCAGAACATCTCATCAAAAAAAACCTGACCACCATATTCCCTGGCCACAAACCAAGATACTCCATACCAACATCAATCACTGGAAAAAGAGGAAACTTCAAAAAAGCGTCGAAATCAAAAGAAAGGACCCAGCCATTAACAGAGACCAAGGTATCTACCTACCCAGTGTGAACTCCTCTATACTATAATCACATCATCTACCTCAATGGACATGTTGGTTGCCTCATTGCTTGTCAAAGTAGACACAATTCATGGATAACAACTTCTTTAATTACTGTAAAGGTGACGTTTCAGTATAGATGCTTATACTGTTGTCTTGCCTGACATATAAATATATATATAAATACATATTTACTCTATGCCATACTAAGCATTCACCAGAAGAAGGCGCAAGAAGTAGTTCTGAAGAATAAAAGAAGTTGCTATCCATAAAAAAGTGTCATGTACTCATGTTTTCCAAACTTCTAAATGCCTATCAAAGACGTCATAGCAAGATATCATCAAGACTCATCTGATTAAGTCACTCTGCTTGTGTGACTCTAAGCTCAGCATCACTCTTCAACACACTTTACTTTTCATTCCTCTACCACTAATTGCTCCGGTGATATGGATTAAACTCTTATTTGGAAAGAAAACAGCATTCATTATTGTCCGCTTCAATGACATAACACATACACTTGCCCTTCTTAACTCCCTTTAAAAAAAGATAATACGACTTGGAGAGCAAAACAGGCCTGAACTCATTGCAAGTGGACAAATTACATTGAACTGATTGATAGCCATTTCTTAGAAGTTAACGGATGACAAAGTAGACACAATTTACAGATATCACTTCCTTTTTATTTTACTGTAATAGCGATGTTTTGGTATAGATCCTTATACCGTTGAATATTGAACATGGTACAGAATATGCATGGTTGGTGGAGGATTAACAGTAACAACAATTGCACACATGAGGAGTTAAGCATGAGTAGGTTAAATAATGACAACAGAAGGATAATACTGAACACATGATGAGGAAGCCAATTAACCAGGAAGCCAATTAGTAAGTGAGTGAGTGAGTTGGGTTTAACGCCGCTTTTAACAGTATTCCAGTCATATCACGGCGTGTCAGCTTAATGTGGGAGGAAAGCCCGAAGTGATGCAGGTCTCAGACGTTTACCACTTCGGCGAAACCCATGAGCACGGGTATGGTGCTGACAAACTAGGAAAACATAATCGGGGCGAACCGGGATTCGAACCCACAATCATAGGTTTCTGGCATGCCCAAGGCGCACTCTGCACAGCGAATCGTGGCGTCTTAGACGACTGGGCCACCCCCAGGAAGCCAACTAAACAGGATTAGGTTTCCATTGGTGTGGTGATGATTGCTTAATGAGTTCATAGAAGGCGGATGGGATGAAATAGCCTTGATCTCTGTCGAGTGATGGTTTGTGGAGGAGAATGTGGACTGCTACTGTTAGTTTTCTTTCAGTGAAGTTGAAGAGGATGAAAGTAACAGAAGCGGTCAATATTCACCACCACAAGCACCACAACCGAGATCATGGCAATTTCATCCCAACCCAAACTATGAACACATTAAGTAATAATCACCCAAGTCGTTAGAGTATTATCCTTCTGTAGTTATTATTTAACCTACTCATGTTAATCTCTCTCATGTATGCAATTTTTGTTACTGTTGATCCTCCACCAACCATATATATTCTGTACCATGTTCATTATTCAGCCTTTGTTCACAACAGTACAAGGATCTATACCACCATTACTGTAAAATAAACAAGTTGTTATGTATAAATTGTGTTTACTTTGTCAAATAACATCCTATGAGATGAAAGTGACAGAAGACGAGTCTGTGTTTCAGGTCACAATAGCAGGTGTCTGAGCCAATTAAACAGTGCAATTCTCCTCGATC